TGGCCTCTTTGCCGACCCGGTGGCGTCCTCCGGTCCCTGGGCTTGGAGAATTGCACCAGGCCAGGAGGTGAGGGCTGAGGCGGCCGCCACGCCTCGCTTGCTCCTGACAGCTTGCGGGAAAACTTTAATCCGAAACTGGTCAGAGGGCAGTGAATTGCGTAAAAAAACGGGGCAATCGTTGTTAGATTGCTGAAAATGTATGTTTCTGCTGCGCCTCCGGGTCTTGCATAAGCACTATTTATGGGAGAACTTAATTACTATTTTTGTTAGTTTCTTTAATAATGAAAGCAACACCATTTAGTGGCCTGTTCCAGTGATACCACAATAAGCAGCTTCTCATGAATGATAGTGTTTTAGAATCGACTCATAGAATTAATTCGATGATATTTGAGCCACGGTAGTTGTTAAAGCGTATTCCTATGTTAACTCTGAGGCTGTTTTAGGAGAGCCTCCTTGCTTTTCTGGCCTCTGTTGACGTGAGCAGCTAGGATTCAGGGAAACCAAACCTACAAACACATTTAGACAAGTGATTCAAGATACTTGTCTTCTTTGTAGTAGGCCACTTCCACAATGAAATCTCATGTCGTTTCTGATGTTCAAAAAAATATGGGGTGGCTGCATTTTAATTATAGTTTTAGTCATTTGTGGAGCCTTTGTTTTCCGTTCCTGCTACAATAGTGAGAGATTTGGGAGATTGTAAATGAATGTGCATTTAGTTTGTTTGAAAGAGACGATTAAGAAACAGTCTTTTAGAGCAATGTGTACTGCTTATTTTAATCTTTCACAATTTAATTTCCATTACAACTTTTTTTTGAGATTATTTTGGAAATTTTTTTAAACTGGAAAATATTATTGTTTTTATCAAAATTGTTAGTGTAATAATCCCAGGGTAAGTGACCATTAAGTGCAGGGACATTTTTTTCTTGTCTAGGAAAGCAAATAGATGATTGATCTCTTTTTCTTATTCTTTTAGGGAACACTTAAGGACAAATTAAAAAGAGAGAGAGAAATATCCAGATATTAAGCACTGAGGATTTGGATCTAAAAATGGATGGTCAAAGATCTTGGGAACTAAGGGACCTTCTTGCCAAATAAGGAAACTTGGCAAGTGGCACTGTGTATTTTAAGTTAGCCCAAGAGTGAGTGTTATTGGCAATATATTGGCTGAGTGCCTATCAGGAATGAGCAGTGAAACTGACTTTGATAGGGCTACAAAATTATAAACAGGAGTTAAGAGGGGCATGGAGTGAATAATCTAGTCATCAGAGAAAACACTGGAGAAATTACAGTAATATTTTATGAAAAGAGGTCAGCGATAGAGTGAAACCATTAGTGTGGCGTGAAAGAAAAAATGGACAGTTGATTTTAGAAATTGATAGATTCAAAGAAAAGAAAGGAGAGAATCAATGATTAAAAACAAAACAAAACAGAAAAAGGTATTTGTGGTGATATAGTACTTCTTGGAATAAGATAGCCTTATATCTGTAACCAGAGATGTTAGAAATAAAAATCAATTTGGATCATTTGTTTTCCATTTGATTCTACCCAGAACAGATTGACAGGGACGATGTCTTGTCTATCTTAATGTAATAGAACAGCTAAGGCACCTTTTCGGTCTTACTGCAGGGAAAATTTAGGCTACTTCTTTCGTGGCTATTAACCTTGTCCACTACACACAAATAAGCAGAGTTCCAGCTGTGACCTGAAAACTGTACGTGTTAAGGAAAGAGAGGTATAAATGCTGAACCTTAGATTGGTTTGACTGATACGTGAGTGCTTTTGTGACAGACCCTCCTATGGACAGCTGAAGCATTGATTATACCTGAATAGCAGTTAAGTAGCTCAGTAGAAGATTCTGTGAGAACAAAGCAGCCGCAGTTTTGACATCCTAACTCCAGCATCACAACGGCTAATAGGAAATTAAAGCCTCACATTGAACTTTAGGTGGATGGTAAGCAATCTAGTAATTCCTATAATGAGAAAAGGGTGTGTTTAAAGAAAAAAGACAAATTAGAAGGAAGAGGCAGAATGATACAGTGGGAAAAAGACACGATACGGTGGAAAAAATGGATGACTTTGAAGGCAGATCTGAATTCGAATCCCAGTTGTGTCACTTTCAGTTAAGTAGTTGGCTTGGGCAACGTTTACACCCTCTATCCTCAGTTTGCTCACATGCAAATTGGGAGCAGTAAGCCCTGCTTCATAAGCATAAGCATACGAGGCAGCATGTGGAAATGCTTGACTCAGTGCCTGAAACTTTAGCTGCCATAACCGAGTGGCCGAGAAGGGGTTTTCCACATTCTCAAGTTATACACAGAGAAAGCTGCCTGTCTCACCTGTTCCCAGCTAAGCAGGGTTCATAGCTGCTGTCCTGCTTTGAGTGTAGGGATTTCTAAAGCAGCTTTGTGTGCCTCTGTGTCTGCATACAGCTTTGTAATATTCTTGCAGGAGAATCTGCAAGTTAATGGATTTACATTTGAAGAATTTGGGAGTTGTGGGAATAGTGGAAGATTATGACCTGGAAGACCAACACTGGAGTTACTTGGAACCATTCTTACAGCTGATTTTGAGCACCAGTGGTCTTCAGGGACCAAGAGCCTTCTTTCTGGAATCATCTCTGGACTTCCGTAGAGGAAGACCAAAAAGAGAAGGCAAGAATCGCTGCCTAACAGTCATGGAGTACATCTTTGCTTATGAAACTTTTCTACCAAAGTGCCCTATTGTGGGGAAGAATGTCTTCCTCCAGGGATCTGTAAACATAGCCATAAATACCCCCAATGTGAGCAGGCACTTTCTTTAAAATCTTGCATTTGATCTTAAAAATCCATGTGACTTTTCTTTCTCTCCTGTACTGGTTTACTTTCTTGAACAAACCAATGCAAACAGGTGCTAAGCCTATTTATTCCCCCGAATCTTAAAGTAAAGTTGATGCTGAAAGATGTGTGTTTTTTTATCCACCTTCTGCATAGTGCGGCCTGCTGCATGGGCTGATGCCGTTCCACTGTGCAGAGAAGAGAACAGGGGTAGATCATCATCCAGAGAGTTTTCGTTTTCTGTGGCCGTACTGTGGCTTTGAGGTGAGCAGAGCTCTGTGCTCTGAAAGTAAAAAGGGAGAGGATAGTTGTAGGATAGACGTCTGAAGTCCGGCTCGCACCTTCCCAGCCAGCTTGGGAGGAGAGATTTGGGAGGATGGTCCAGTCATCTCCATTACTGCCATCACTGAAACTGATCACTGTGTTCTCGCACGGTGTCAAGGGGCTCTTAGTGACAGGTTCATGACTGTTTCCCTAAGAAGGGAAGGGAGAGGTCAGTTAGTCATAGCGTGCTCATAGGGTTGGAGCGGATCTTTAAAAAAAAAACATTCATTCTGCTCTCCCAGTCTCCTCCCCACATGCTCACCTCCCATTGAACACGCTCAGTGACGGGGAACTCACTACTAAACAGGGTGGTATGTTTCCTTGCTAGGCAGCTCTGATAACCAGGAGTTCTTGTCCATAGATAGCGTTGCCCCTAACTCAGCGATACATGCTGTAGGGTCTTCCTTTGGTCTTATCTAGTTTTAACACCCCTATTTTTTTTTTAATGTTACCGGGTTTTAACTCTCCTATGTACCCTTCTCAGGGAACTTTCATTCTAGGTTAGTCCCAAATTGTACTGTTTGTGAGCAGCCAGGAAGGTGAGATACTTTCTATTTGACAGAAGACTATGAAAACAGGAGCTGAGTAGCTGCAAGATTTAAGGATGGGTGGGCCTGCTGACCGAATAAGCCTGGTTTACTTACCAGCTGCTCTCTCCCCAGCACGCACCCCAGGCACCTGGGAATGCCTCTTCCAGCCAGCTCTCAGTGTGCCTTTGCTTATTCAGACTCTGGCTGGGTTCTCTTCCTCACGCCTCCCATTGTTCAACACAGAAAGCCCCCGCAGTGACCCGTGTCATGGGTTGTACCTACTTTGCGTTTCCTAGTTGGGCTGCTGTTTGGGCGGCATGTCTGCGGCATAAATGGCCCTGCTCCCTGCACTCCTGTTCGTCCTGGATGTTGCTTCTAGTAACAACATTTCTGGCGAGAAAGTGCATCTGTTTTCATAATTGAAATATTAACGTGCAAATCATGTCTCATGTAATGAGTTCATTTGAATGTTGAACCTGTGCTTTAACTGGAGAGTTATGTCATTTATGTGGTGAAGCAGAGAGGGAGAAACAAGGGAAACAACAGCTGTTCTATTTTTCAGCCTCTGAAAGTTGGCACCTCCCAGATATCCATGACGGAAGATGCTCTTCACCGAGCCCAGCAACCTGTTCTAGACAAGACGTGCTGCTTTCCAGTGGCAGCCTTGGAGGAAGGAAGGAAGTACCTACGGCAGACACAATACTAGTTAGTTCTAGTCATACCTAGTCTCGTAGATCTTATCTCTTTTCAGTGATTTCGAAACAAAAACATAGCAGAACGGCAGTCTTGTTCAGGAACAGAATCTTTGACTCCTGGACTTTGGTGTTACAAACAAATACATCAAACCAGAGCTTAACCCATTGTTAAGACTTGCAGAAAAAAATAATAATTGCAGAAGCATAATCCAAGTGGTATTGTTTTACACACATGATAAAGCACATTTTTATT